TTCATTGAACCGCGACGGGGGTCGACATCGTCTACCAGATACCTTTGACCCAGTGTTGACGTCACACTTCAAAGAAGCCATGTGACAAGCTTCACTGGGTCAGTCTACTGAGTAAGACCAGGGTGACTGGTCGAAAGCTCTAGGTGAGAGAATTTTTTTGTGTTGGACCAAAAGTTTTAACTTTAAACAGACATCACACTAGTTATGCTTACCGAGGGAAAGCATATTGCTTTAACTTTTTGCTCTTTCTTTTTCCTCTTCTTCTCCTCCAAACAAATAAGATCTGTGACCTGAACCAGACGTCTATCACCATGGTGACTGGTGTTGGGTTACATCATGTTGCAATCTTATAGCAGAAGGGATTTAAACTCCTGTCCCATATATATGGATGTGTTTGAGCTACTTGAAACGTGCAGTTTTTAAACCCTATCCAGTTGCTTGAGTAACAATTTCCTTGTGTATCTCATTACCTAGATGTCTAACCTTCATCAAAAGTGAGTTAATTCTCTCACCATGTTCTCCTGCTCCGCTGTTTTTCAGTTCGACCAATCGCGCGAATTTGTCTCTCATAGCTGGACCAATTGCGTCGCGGAAACCGATCCACGCCCACTCCAGTTCGTCATAGTCACGTGATGTCGCGAAGATGTGTTCGAGGTCAGGTTCGAGAGGGTGGCAAACCTCGTTCTCATTCTCCTCCCGACATGCCTTGCCAGTGCTGTACAGACTTTCGATGTCGTTTGTGAGCTTGGACATTTGTCTGGAAAAATGTACAGTAGTTTGATCAATGTACTGTAAGGCCAACCCAATTTAATTTGTTGTTTTTCGGATTTTTTCAGAAGGGAGAAATAAAAAAAGGCCAAGGCACCCCATGATAGCCGGAAATGTTACAATATGAGCCATGAAGTCAACATACCAGGCTGGTTTATGATTAAGACAATAGATTTTCAATTTTAAATGAAACAAAATTGCATTGTTACATTGAGAAACTTGAAGAACTAGTAAGAAAAGGACTTTCTTCAACCGTTGGGGCCAAAATATGTCTTAAGCGACGGTCACAACTCGCCGTGCGTGCTTTTTGTCCGTACGTTTTTGTCGTGGCTACGTCTGCTACGTTTTTTTTCTGAAAACGTAGGGTGGCCGGCCGAGGGAGTACGTCACTCGCACGGTTGCGCAAGGTGTACGTACGTGGTCTGCACGACACGCCTGGCCGTCAGCGGTTGCGTGCATCGTACGTTGCGCAAGTGGTAAGTGAGTTGTACCACCCCCATGAAACTCCTTCCTCTTCGCCCCCGCCGTTCTGCTTCGCCCCCGCCCCGTTCTGCTTCGCCCCCGCAAAAAAATCTGCTTCGCCCCCGTCGTTCCTCTACGCCCCCCGGCGCAATTCTGCTTTGCCCCCCGTCCTTCTGCTTAGCCCCCAATGGCGGCACAGCTCACAGTCGACACGAAAATCGTCTGCAAAATAACAATAAAGGCTGTGCCGCCAAATTTAAAGTAGCCCATGCTCCGGCAAACATTCTGGACCACCTTTCTGCCAAGTGGCGTTGCACAAATCCTTCCCATTCAAAAGTTTACCCCTACCTCACGGCCCGTCAGTGGTTCTTACGTTTATAAGTACTGGCGTTTATAAGTACAGCCGTGAGTGAAATTTCCCGCCAGTACTTATAAACGTAAGAACCACTGACGGGCCGTGAGGTAGGGGTAAACTTTTGAATGGGAAGGATTTTGTGCAACGTCACTTGGCAGAAAGGTGGTCCAGAATGTTTGCCGGAGCATGGGCTACTTTAAATTTGGCGGCACAGCCTTTATTGTTATTTTGCAGACGATTTTCGTGTCGACTGTGAGCTGTGCCGCCATTGGGGGCTAAGCAGAAGGACGGGGGCAAAGCAGAATTTGCGCCGGGGGCGTAGAGGAACGACGGGGGCGAAGCAGATTTTTTGCGGGGGCGAAGCAGAACGGGGCGGGGGCGAAGCAGAACGGCGGGGCGAAGAGGAAGGAGTTTCATGGGGGTGTGTACGTGCTTACAACGCACGATCTCTGTGCGATTGCTACGTTGCCGCGTACAGGCCGTACCTACACGTGCGGCGTACGCACGGTTTCCTTACTCACTCGCACGTTGTAAGTGCGTGCACCTCCTATTAACTTCATCATCACTAGCCGCCCTGGTGTCTTCCGCGGCCCGTTTCTTTGGGTCTTGTTTGGTAGCCTCCTTCTGAGCCTTCCTGGGCATCTTGGAGACGAGTTGGCAGTCGCCCGTCAAGTTGTCTTTATATACTGTAGAGATCAGGTGCGTTGCACGTGCGTTGCACGTGCGGAGCACCTGGTATGGTGCACGTGTGTTCTGCGTGGTCATTGAGCAGGTCAACTGGGAAGTGAGGAGTAAGCACGGATGACGCAAGCACCGTGCGTGGCACGCACGTGCTTCGTGCGCTGTCCGTACAGCAATCGCACGTGAGAATAGTGAAGTTAGACTCACGGAGTCCGTACGTTGCACGCTTATAGGCTGTACGGGGCACGCGCGTGGCACGTACTCGCACGCACGGGTGGTAAATCCGAAGACCGCACGTAGAAAAAGTATTACATGCACTTAAAGTTCTACGGCGTGTCTGCGTGCTCCCAAATCCGTAGGATTCCGTACGGAGGTGGTACTCACCACGCACGGATGCCGTACGATTGTCCACGTTTTTGCACGTAGACAGCACGCAGAAGCACGTATGGCGAGTTGTGACCGTCGCTTTACATTGAGCATTTTGCAGTTAATTTAGAACCAATTTTTTACAAATCAGAAAAAAATGAACAGGGCGATCCGAGAAGCAACAAATTGAATTGGTCTGGCCTAAAGAACGCAAATGCAAAACGCTGACACAAATGAATGTTATAAAAATTAAACTTAGTAGAATGTGTTAACATATTGTCAACATGTGTTAATTGTGACAAAGGAGGTTATAGTCCTTCAAGTTGTTACACTTTCAACTTTCAACTTTATTTGTTTAACCAGGAATCACACTCAGGCCACTCTGGCCTGTTTTTCAGGAAATCCTGGTACAAAAGCACAGACAAACACCTAACAGTTAAACAGATTCACAATACATACAAAGTCTAAAAATAGCACATATTCAAATAACTAATCTTAAATACAATTCGATAAAAACTGTTTAACACCTGTTGCTGTAAGGCATTTCTTTCTATATCATTAATAAGAACTAGAGTTCCACGATCTCATACCTTCGCCAAATTAGGATAGCCTTTATGACTCAGAAATAATATATTAATCCCCCTGATTACGCAAATAGGATCCTAAATTGCATGAATTATATCTGTTGATCATATTCTACAACAGAAGACAGACTTATCTTAACAAAGGATGCCATTATATCATGTCCTCGTGAATTATGCAAATGAGATCCTTATTTGAATAATTTATGCTTAATTATGTTCACCTTCACTTAACTTTCAAATACCCCAAGTATGAAATTCCAGGCAATTACCACTTTGGAATTAAACATTTTCTCATTTGCATAATTGATATCTGCCTGTGTTTCTCTCTTTCTTAATTACATATGTTACAAGCTTGAATAGTCCTACCATGGAATGCAGCTATTTATAGAATTTCCTCATAAATTATGCAAATTACATCCATGTTTGCATAATTGTTATATTATTTTATTAAGCATATCTTATGTGCCAGACTCGTTTCGGGCAGCTGTCCGTTTCCCTTCTGCAGCCGGAAGCCCTTCGCCCGCATGTCTAAATTACCGCTACGGGGTGTCTAGATTACGGTAAAAAAGGGGGAAATAGTTGGCCAGAAGAGTCAGTGCACGAAAGGGTTAATTCCCCCCCTAACTAACTGCGCGGGCAAATGAACTCTACGCTCTTCTGTGGCTAAATTTTCCTTCTTTTTTTTGAACCCGCATTGTCTTGGGGAGACTTTATTTACTAGCACCAAACGTCATCCATATTAGTCACAACACGGACCTCTGCTTTTTAAATAAAGAAGGGATTCCAAAGTAAAAAAAGGGGAACGTAAAAGGGGAAGTGTTATAACTGAAGGGAGAAGTTAAAGTACCGGTTTTGTTCCTGTTTCTACTCGCTCCTATTTGTTTCAGATATTTGTCCAGTTCACTCTGACGAAGTAGTCAATACTCCGCCAGACTACGATCTGTGCACAGATTGCATTTAAGGATCTAGCGTTACATGTAATACAAGGCGAGAGAAGCACATTACTAGCAGTAGTCTACTCAGCCTTCGGCGCTCCTCTTGTCCTTAAAGCTTTGGAAAACGACCGGGCCATGGCATCTCCCACGAAGGAGAAGGTATGGAATTTTTTTTCATTTTTTTTTTTTCAGGACCATTTAAGAAGGACACGGTGCGTGCGTTTGATATGCGTATAGGCAAGGGCGTTATACTAGTATATCTTGTTGAAGCTCCTTGGGCTCTGGAATCTACCCGCTTGACTACTGTAGTCCGTAACGATATAAAGTTACTCAGGTGTCATGATGTGTGGTAGTGGGGTCGTGTGGCGCAGTCGGTAGCGCGTTCGGCTCACAGCAGGTTGCGGGTTCGAACCCTGCCCATGTCACCGATCTTGTGCCCTTTAGACTTTAAACGGGACCAAAGGCACTTTACACGACTTTCCTCACTTCACTCAGGTGGAAATGAGTACCTAGTTTCGGTTAGGGACGTCCCTCGGATAGGAGGTCCCGTTCAATGTAGGTCCCGTGTTTGGGAAAGCCACACCCCATGCACGTTAAAGAACCCACCACACTTATCGAAAAGAGTAGGTGACCTTCCCAGTGTGAGTGGTTCAAAACCTTACAGTCCGGTCTTATGCAGCTTGTTGTACATGTACGCACATGTACAAAACTGGTGTGTTATGCCTAAAGGCGGTTTACCGGTTATGCGAAACAAACAAGCACAAGGGCCCATACGAAAATACTAGTAGTTTCATCTGGGTGGTAAAACATGGGGTATTGGGGTTTCTTTTGACAGACCCCGAAGCCGGCCTCTGGCAAGAGCAAGAGCAAGGGCAAGGAAAAGAAGGAGACTGAGTTGGAAGACCTGAAACAGGAATTGGACATAGTATGTGACTCGTCTCTTGATGATGATTTACTCCTTTCTCCTTTTTGTGTCATGTCATTTATATATATAATATACTACTCATAATAAGGATAACTGATGTTCTGTGCTATCAGAAGTACATTAGACAGAACAAAGTGAACTAAAGGCAAGGAAGGAATACAGTGGGAATAATTTGTGTTGTTGAATGTTATGTTCAAATTCTTTGCTCATAGGATGACCACATGATCTCCCTGGAGGAATTCTGTACAAGATACAACACCAGCACAGACGTTGTAAGTACAGAATGTATTAAAATGTTTCCCCATTTCATACATATTAGCAACACAGATAAGTTCATATTTCTAATGGCTTTAGACAAACCTTCGATCATAAAACACATCTGACTGTACTTATATCTACATCGTTACTAGGAAGCGAGAAGAAGCCAAATTATCGTAATTATTAGACTATATGTTCACAGTACATAGAACTAGCGCTAGCTTGTACATTGTATATATTTCATTGCAAACTGTGGCGTCTTTCCTGTGACCTATACCAGTGGGTATTTGCGTACAATAAAGGTCTTCATTCATTCATTCATTCATTCATTCATTCATTCATTCATTCAAGCATACTCAGTTTCTCAGTACTATTATCCACATCATACTAGTAATCTATGGTCAACTGTAGTACAAAGTTCCTTGTTTCACCTTGTCATTTCACAGTTGGTAATATCTGCCTCATCGATGAAAAAATGTAAGATTTAGAATAATTTATTTCATCAGCTGTTTTTGAATTTGATTTGCTCTCCAGCAAAGTGTATTAAACTATAGTAAAAACATTGAAATTTATTCCAACACAAAATTGTACAGCGACCACTGTCGCCTTCATCAGGATAATTAATGACCAATCACTTCACAACGTGATCTCGCGAGAGTTACGGTTTACAAACACGTGACCTTATTCACACGAGATTTTACTGATACGTGACGTAAGCAATTGATCAAAAGTGCCAGGGAGTTTATATCGTCCACCATCTCTATTAAGTGATGAAGGCGACAGTGGTCGCTGAAAATTTGATCCCTGTAAATAGTGTGTTAGAATAAAGTTAAACGTTTTTACTATGGTTACTACCAACACAGATGAACTTTCATGATAATCTGTATTAAACCATGTTGATATAATCTTCTTTCAGGGCTTGACAAGGGCCATGGCTGCTGAAGTGTTTGAACGCGACGGACCAAACTGTCTAATCCCCCCACGGAAAACACCGAAGTGGGTCAAGGACTTTGTCAAAGACATGTTTCCCAAGGTGAGAAACTGAATTTTGCTCACAATTTTCTGATACATAAATATACTAGAGAAGCAACATATGCAAAGCAAATGCATAATGTTTACCTTCGGACATGGTCTTATCTGTAAATTCTTACTGAAACACATTCACATACATGCACTACTAGTATATGGTGACAGGAGCAGAGCAGACCATGAAGTTGCAACATTATGTAACCCGACACCAGTCACCATGGTAACAGACGTCAACAAATCATGTCATTGGTCAGGTCAGAGGTCACTGTTTGGAGAAGAAGAAGAGCAGAAACTCAAGAACAAAAAAAAATGAGTAAAAACAATATGTTTTCCTTCGGTAAACATAATAACGATACATATTTTTATATCCTAATAATGGGACAAATATGAAATAGTTCTAGACAAACTGAAGGACTTCGATGAAGCTCCTTGTTTTAGATTTAATCTATACTCTATAATTGTGGTTTTCCAGCAAACTTTGGTTATCCGGAGTGGAGAGCCCATTAGTGTGGACATTGAAAACGTCGTGGTGGGAGACCTTGTTCAACTGAAGGGCGGAGATCGTATTCCTGCTGATGTTCGTATCGTCGAGGCCGATGGATTTAAGGTAACATCATTATGCCAAAAAATTGTCTTCACTTATTTGTACATCAACCAATAGTCTGTACTTATAAACCTGCCGTTCTGAAACTCTCCAGTGTCTCTGACGAAAGGTACTATAATTCACTTTATGTTCATGGTAGCTAATTTTCACGGTCTGAGAAAAATGGACATGTTCACAGAACTATATGTTCCCTGTGGCGACAGGTGCAAAAAAAAGAGAGAGAAAGTCCAGGAATTATTTGTTAACTGTAATGATAAGTTGATGGTACAGAAGTGACAATGAAAACAGTGAACATAAAAGTACAGTAAAAAATCAGGAATTACAGTAGTGGATACTACCAGAAACGTCTGACCGTTTCCAAATTCATATCCAGTTACTTGAATAACTGTTTTTGGCGTATCTTATTACCTGGATGTCTAATCTTCACCGACGTAACAGACATCATGTATCATTCGAATATTGCTGTCCGGTGGCATTGAAAAATCTGTTTGTAAATTAGCATGAAAGTTCATCCGTGTTGGTACAAGTCATTATGAAATAAAGACTAAGCTTCAATTTCTAACACCTAGATTACAGAATTGGGACTTACACAAATTTTTGGTTGACTCCATCAACCTTGTTCACGGAATGGAACCGTCTACTCTTGGAACGTGATGTCAGAGACACGTGACCGTAGTAGCGGGTCATACGTGCCAGATAACTTGTGTCGCCCCCCGTTCCAAGAGTAGACGGGTCCATTCCGTGAACAAGGTTGATGGAGTCAACCGAAAATTTGGGTAAGTCCAAATTCTGTAATCTAGGTGTTGTAAGTTAAAGCTTAGTCTTTATTTCATACTGTTTGTAAATGTTGTTGTTTTTCCTACAGATCGACATCTCTCTGCTCACTGGAGAATCAGAGCCCCAGATTCGGTCTCCCGAATTCACCAACGACAATCCGTTTGAGACAAGAAACATTGCTTTGTTTTGCACAGTTGGGGTTGAAGGTAAAGTTCAAAAAGAAAAGTCTATAATAGCACTGAAATAGATATACAGTGTATGATATAGAAAGAACTAATAAAGGCAATATATAACTTGCAGTTATAGTCGGTTTTCAAGATATTGTAATACAAACGTATATTAAGCATTATGAAATGGATATTGTAAAGTCCTACAGTGTAATGTTTTGTATCCCCCAATTCCCAAATGATTTGCTTGTCTTTTTATCACCACTCCAGGCAGTGCCAAGGGCATTGTTTTCAACACTGGTAACCGAATGGTCATGGCCCCTTCTGCCTTGAGGGTCAGCCGATTGGATTTAGAGGAGACACCAAGTTATTGTTGCTGTTCGTCATAAAAAAAACCCAATTCCAAGCGTTCAGCCGTCTCTCCATAGTTCAGGAAATGTCTCTGCTATGGTTTAAAAAGTACAAATTTATACATGTTCAAATTACCGAATAAAATGCGATCTGTGCTGAAACACTGATGATGTTATTCCATATTACTAGTAAATCCCTTGACCCTAGTCTAAGTCAAGAGATATCAAAACCGGAAGTTCAGCTGCAGTACCTTAAGAAGACGCTGGGGGGGGGGGGGAATCTAATAATTTCCAGGTGAAGACCTACCCACCTGCCAAATATCAAGCCTTCTTAAGTTATCGTGTTTACAGACACACACACACACACACACACACACAGACATACACAGGAACGCCTCTGAAAACATAACCTTATTGAAGAAGGTAATAACAGAAAATTGGCGGGATTTTTCGCTCTGGTGTTAGTGCAAACTGCAATTGCTGAAAATGAACGCGTAAGTTACTAAAGTCAAGATAACTATGATAATAAAACTGATCTGTTGTCCATGTTAAGGAATTGTAACGAAATCACATATTACCTGAGATCGTTAGAATCCTCCGGAGTGCCGTCTAGCGAAATCAGCCAGAACTGCCTCCTCAGGTCTTCTGAGTATGCTGCTGGAGTGAACCTGATTGATATCAAAATAATCAAAATCAATTTCAAACTAGAGAAGTAACATTTGCAAAGCAAATGCATAATTTTTAACTTCGGATATGGTCTGATCTATTAATTCTTGCTCAAACACTTTCACATACATGTACTTTTAGTATTAGGTGACAGGAACAGAGCAGACAATGAAATTGCAACATTATGTAACCCAACACCAGTCACCATGGTGACAGACGTCAACAAATCATGTCATTGGTCAGGTCAGAGGTCACTGTTTGGAGAAGAAGAAGAAGAGGAAGAAACAGAGTAAAAAAATGTTTTCCTCCGGTAAACATAATTAACATCTATTAACATCTGCTACATATATAACAGTATAATTTTACGAAAGGTATTAAATGGGAGCAAGGAAGGGTGGATTATCAATCTGATATGGTTTATCGTATATTATTTATTAATAATGAATCTCACACCTATCTACACCAGATACAAGTGGATAAACTTATATATACATATCAGTGGGACAGTAAAGATGAACATTTGAATACAAATATGTGTACGAAAATATATATAAAAAGATGAACATGAAAAAGCAAAAACATTATGGCAAAAACACGACTTGCAATCTACTAGATTTTCCTTCAAAACAACCGTTATATCTTCATCTGTATCTTTCGGCGTATGAAAACGATATTGGCAATCTAAAGCCACAGCAAGAAAATTTTATGGATGACATCCTCCGCAGACTCCAAATCCAATACGAGCGGGCGAAAAAAAAACAAGGAAAGCCGAAAAAAAGGTTCCTACATTTTGAAATTTTGACTCAATCATTGTAAAAATGGGTTTGATTCAGTGGGGACATCACATATACACAGCCAACATCACAAATCACTGCATCAAAGTAAGAAACAAAACATTAAATCAGAGTCTTTTCTTGTCTCCTCTCTTCATGTTTATCTGCCATCCACCTTCCGGCATGCCAACAGACATCTTTGCCTATTTTCGGCATGGTAACAATTGTCAGAAGGCAACAAAATTTCTTGTCTTTTTTCCAAAATCAGGTGAAAATTAATGCGAGCGCGCTGATGTCATCCATAAAAATTACTTGCTGTGGCCTAACGAACCTGCTAGCCTCCTTTAGTTTCTTTAATTTCCACTCGTGGACTTGATTGTTAGCCTGGATCGCAGCCTCCGCGGTGGCGGGGTTCATGTCGGTACTGTGCGCCCAGCTGGCTTCGTTTAATGATGTTTTGCGCTTGCGCAGCTCGTCGTTGTACTGTCGAAGCCACACACGAGCCTCGGTTTCATCCACGGCTTCATCGATTACTACTAAAAGAACATTGGAATATCGAAGATCAATAATTACGCACTGGTGCAGGTGCGGTATGTTATTTATTTATTTATTTTATTCACATTTATTTTTCGAGGATTGGGCAAAAAGTTATGAAACTTATGTCAGCCCTCTCCTCGCACATAAAAGGAAACAATAAAACAAAGCAATAATAATAAGAAGAAGAAAGGACAAAGGTACATAATGAGCTGGTGTACAAATTAAATCAATGAACTAAATCAAACAAAACGTCCTGCCTGCAAAATAAAGTTGAAAACCACAGCAACTATTTTACATATTTTGACAAACGACAATGAGGGGTTACCCCTGAGAATGGTTGAAAATAAGGTGTTGTTTATGTCAAATTGCAGGATGTTAGTTAGAGATGATAACATGTCAATACGTTCGTCAGTGTACTGTGGGCAGTGTAGGAAGTAGTGTACAGTAGTATGCAGTACGTTCTGCCGACGTGCTACATTTAGCCACCTTCCCTGACTAAAATCTACATATAAAAACATTGACAGTTGTGTCTCTCAACTATCAGGGTGAATAAACAAACCCACCTCTAATCCATTCAAATAAGCAAAAGGTAGGTAGGTATCAAATCAAGTCATAATGAATTAATTAATTATAAGTGCCAAATCTCACCAACTCTCTTGTTTGTTAGGCAGCACCGCAGACGCCTGGGACAACAAAAAGTGTTCACAACTTCCTGCATGTCTTCTGTTGTTGTAGATTTCTGCCATGGAGAGGCTGGCTTCACTTCTTTAACCACAAAAACACAGACAGCTAGACAAACAAACCACGGTCTCTTCATAGCGTTCGGATATGCAGGCACGTCGATATTAGATATTGATACTGATCTGATACCCGTCAGATATTACAGTATCACCCTCACTAGTCAGTTTAATACAGATATCGTTTCAATACGTTCCAGAAATAGTAAATGTTCAAAAACATTGGCACAGCAGACAACTTATGACCTTTGACACTAGCCTCGGTTCTGTGATTTAAAGTTGTCCGACCGCTTCTGTGGAACAAACCAATAAAGACTGTAGGAGGGTCTGATGATGGAAAAATTAAGACTTTACCGAGAGAATTAAGAAGCTAAAGTAGACCTACAGAAAAACATTGCTGTAGATTCGATATGTATCGATGCTTAGGCCACAGCAAGTAATTTTTATGGATTACATTGGCACGCGCATTAATTTTCGTCTGATTTTGGAAATAAAAAACAAGAAATTTTGTTGCAGTAAAAAGTTGAACTTTATTCCAACACAGAGATCAAATTTTCAGCGACCACTGTCGCCTTCATCAGGATAATTAATGATCAATCACTTCACAACGTGATCTCGCGAGAGTTACGGTTTACAAACACGGGACCTTAATCACACGAGACTTAGCAATTGATCAAAAGTGCCGGGAGTTTATACCGTCCACCATCTCTATTAAGTGAAGGCTGAAGTGCTCTGATATATATATATATAGCCTTCTTAATGCCTCTTAAAAAGTAGTCCTGTTCAGTGTCCAGTACTCTAACTTTGTCCAGAGAGACTGTGTGGCCCGGTGATTCGATGTGGATGTGTTGAGAAACTTCAGATGACAGCGAGCTGGGGCGTTTGTGTTCAAGAAATCTGGTCCTCAGAAGCATTAAGGAGGCCATATATATCAGAGCACTGCATCCTTGACTTGTAACAAAGTGTCTCAATTTTGTAGCTGTAAACTTTAAACACAAGTGCAGCGGTAGAGAAATGTTGTTTGGATTTTAGTGCAGACCGCTGTTAGGTGAACGCTCAAAGTTTCAAAACCAAACCAATTAACTTTAAAAAAAGCGGGTTGCTATGTAGTGTATATTGAATACAGGACATCGCAAATCTACTATAGTAAGCCTTCATTGTGTTCGTAACACACCATAAGCTCGAGAAATACCTTCTTGCGCCACTATAAGATTGGAAAGTTCCACATGATTGAAGTTCTACTTAGCGGAGTAGTTTGTGGTTTAAGGTAGTTATTGTTCCACCGGATATTGTTGGTTCTACAAAGCCTTGCTCCTGACGTGTGGAGTGGTTGAACAGGTACATGTACTAGGGTGGCTTAGGTCATGGTGGTGGCGTGACTGAATGATTAACTCAGCTAGCTATCTAGTGATGATCTTACTGTATCTAGTGATGATCCTACCTACAAAATGAGCTTTAGAACACCTCAATTATTGATTGATATCTCTGGTACTTGAAGTTGACAAGTCATCACATATACACAGCCAGCATCACATATCACTGCATCAAAGTAAGAAACAAGACATTAAATCAAAGCCTTTTCTTGTCTCCTCTCTTCATAGTTATTTGCCATCCACCTTCCGGTATGGCAACAGACATCTTTGCCCATTTTCGGCATGGTGACCACTGTCAGAAGGCAACAAAATTTCTTTTTTTCCCCAAAATCTGGCGAAAATTAATGCGCGCGCTGATGTCATCCATATAAATGACTTTCTGTGGCCTTAGGTAAAAACACCCCTATTCCCGGCCCTTGGCATGGTTACCAAGCGAAGGATTCTGGGGACGAATTGTCCTGTCGGACGTTTCTTCAGTGACCCGGAAATTTTCTTCACCTTCAAAACTGACTCTTTAAATATCCCGGCAGAAACCGGGGAGGCCAGTTGCAGTGCGCGCGAAGACGCACGATGGCCACAGCAGCGTGCTTACTCCTCTTGGCGGCGATAGTCGCACCGAGCGCCGCCGCCCCGGCCGACAAGGCATCGGCACTCCTGGACGACGAAAAGCGAATCGACGAGCCACTAAGCATGCTCATGTTGGAAGCAGCGAAGAAGAAGAAGAAGGACGAAGAAGAAGCTCTGACCAAGAAAAGCGTCGACTCGCAGAAAGACTGGCCTGTGGACGGACCCTTCATCAAGAAAGTTGTGATGAAGGTAAGTCTTGTGAAATCTTATGAAAATTTTATGAACTTTTTCTATACCGATAAAGTTTAGTTATCGTTTCCTGTACTCTTTTTGTGGAAAATAGCTTGAAATATCTAGTTCAAGAGAAGTTTTGATTTATTTTTATATTCCGAAACATGTAATCAGAAGACGTGGTGACGGCACACTCAACTTATATTAATGCCGCCACCAACGCAGGGGCAGTACAATACTCATTTACACCTGAGTGAAATGAGGAAAGTCGTGTGAAGTGCCTTTCCCAAGCAAGGGCACAAGATCGGTGGCATGTCAGGACTCGAACCCGGGCCTCTGTTTTTTTATTCATCAAAACATAAAAACATAACAAGGACAGTGTGGCGCTGCACTCAAGTTAACAACTTATACTAACAGCGCCACACAACAAAAAGGTACAATTAACATTTAAAGTTGACATATCTGTGCGCCGTAGTCCCACCACCCCAAGACATTAAAATGCCTCTGGTTCCGAGTCGAGAACTCTACCGCTACCCCACACGACCCCACATTGATTGGGAGGAATAATTACTTCAAGTTTACGGTGGAAAATCCAAAGGGACGTCAACATATCCGCGTTTCAGACTTTTTGAGGACTTTTTAGAGAGAAATACTTTTCTAGTATCGTTGCTCTAAGCGATTGGACAAATTGTAGACTTTAATTTAAATAGGGGTAGAGGTACATGTTTCTGAAAACTTGTCAAATATCGTGCCGATTTTCACAATTGAAAACGTCGCACCCTTTGAACGCAAATACGATTCTAAAATCTATCTAGAAATCTAATCTAGATTTGATGAATGAATGGTGTATTTATTTATCTTGATTTGTACGGAATGTTTCTGATTTGAAGGCTTAAAGGTCTGCCAGACGTAAACACACAAATACTACATACAGCCACAAAACGTTGTCTTCTGTACATGCCTACCTGCCTATATGCACAGGCCAGGTACGAGTACTGGCCCCTTGCTCCGCTCCGTCAGGTACTTCCAGTCAGCTCTATCAAGAGCAATAGTCTCTGCTTCACTTAGGGTAATCCCTGTGTCACTCTGAATCTGGTCTTTCCACCTCTTGGGTGGTCTTCCCTGGGGTCTAGGGTCTTCTGGACATGGTCGTCTGCGAAAACACAATGTGAGGAAATCGCCTAAATCTTTACATATCACCACAAAAGACTGTCACCACCATAGATTACGCCCTTTACGTCTTACCACACAATGGATGGAATGCCGTACTTTGATTGGACCATGTTAACATTTGAACTCAACGGAAATCGCTGTGTAGTGACTACAGTGGGAAAAGGCACGCCTGATTGGCGGAGATAAACTTGCCTCTTGGTCTAAATAAAGTTGGTCTATTAGAAGTCACTATCCCAAAGAAATGTTTTAGAAGCTTCAGTCAATAGAAGCTTGGGGAGTAGATTTCTCGCCTAAATGCATCAAAGCGTTCTAAACATCTTCTGCTGTTGTGATTAGTGTTTTTTGACAAAAAAGCTCGATTTTATTGAGTCTAGATAACGATTTACGAGCATGCTATATTTATGTTACCCATATTGCATTTCTATTTCCGATTCGGGAGCTCCGCCATCTTTGAAATTTTAGAATTTTTTATTTTTTTTATTGCAGGTTCTAAAGGAGCTGAAGAATCCGACAAGTGTGGTAGCTCAAGACAGCAGGGGTTTTCAAGAAACACGAAGTAAGACACTAACATTTGTTTGTTTGTTTGTTTGTTTGCTTGTATGGGTGAAGTCTACCATCATTCCCTGCCCTGGTCCTTTGCATAGTCGACCCCAGGCACTACGCCCTGGGGGGCGCCAAAAGCCAAATCAAGTGGCCCGCGTACTTTTTAACGCAAGCTGCTAGGGACACCAACAGCTTTCTACCACGTAAACATCATGACTGTAGCAAGTTTAGAGCAGGAGATATAAAGCCCAGAAGGTCGGCTGCAGTACCAAAAAGCGCCGCTAGGGGGCGCCAAAAGTCAAATCAAGTGGCCCGCGTACTACCAAGTTTTGTGCTTGTATCACAATTTGAAAGATTATATCAGTTATCTGCCCCACTACATCTATAGTAGTGACACCTGTGCTGTAATGCGATGTGAACCAGTCAGAATTGTCCCGAGAAAGGTGACAGACGGTCACTGAAACGTCGGCTGAATCGGCTGACTTGGTTGTGTAAAAAGAGTCTCTTTACTCATATATACTTCTTGTTCTGTCAGCGATCAACTGTGGCGGTTACGTTACCCCTTCAGAAACAGAGGCACCGCCCCCTCCACCGACAAATGCACCACCCCCTCCGGAGACGGAAGCTCCACCCCCTCCACCAACAGAAGCACCACCCCCTCCAGAGACAGAAACCCCGTCCCCTTCAGTGACCGAGCCCCCTCCATTGGTGGAGTGCCCGCCGTACCAGTACGCCTGTGGGTCCGGTGAATGTACACACCAGCGGTATGAGTGCAACGGTACCCCCGACTGTCAGGACGGCAGCGACGAAGCACGCTGCTTTGGTGAGTATTATCAGTTGCTTCCAAACTTTGAATTCAGATGTGCAGTCATCGCCGATCAATGACAAAATTAAGGACTAGTGATCACCAAGTTTTAACTTTAAGCATAACGTTTATTAACGTTTTATACCTCTAGCTCTAATGGATTTTCCCTCCTAACAGAGTGCGACCACAACATACACAAGCCTTACTACGTCATGCCGTACTACTGGGTGTGTGACGGGCTGAATGACTGTGTGAGCGGGGCAGATGAGGCCGGATGTGAAGGGCCGCCAACCCCGCGTTCTGTGCTAGGTACGTAATTACACTGCGCTCTCATTGGTCAGCCGTAATAATCTAATTAACCAACCCCATATAAGGCATGCGCGCCTTATCACACTTCACCCATTTCGTCCGAGCCGTCCGCAAGCGAGGAGCTAGTGAAGCCAGCACGCCACCCCGCCACCACGCACGCTTGCCACGTGGAAGCGCTCCTCGATTTTTCTCTCTCACCAACGGCTCCGGAAAAAGGTTTGGGTGTAGTGAGGGTAACGTTAACGTTACATTTTGAATTTTCCGGTTTTTTTAGTGCTCCCCAGGGTGTGTTAGTTTGGGGAGAGTAGGCGCACGTGGGGCGGCCTGTTTTCCTTCTTTGTGGGAGTTTGTGTTTCTTCCCTGACTTTCCCCGTTTTGCAGGGTGGGTTTCAGCGTTCCTTTGTTCGCTGAATCGTTTTTTCAGGGAGGGTAACTCGAGTTAAGTTCTCCCAAAGCGCTCCACGACTTAGCCGATCTGCTTCGCGTGGCGGAGGCTTGCTCGGGTTGGGAAACTTGCGTTTTAGGAGCATGTACTGACATGTACGCTGTTGTTGTTTCATAGTATGGCTTCCCAGCAACAGCCGGTATTACCTGGTTCCAGTGGAGCGGGCTCAGGACGCGGAGCCGTCAGAGACCCGAGAGCCAGACCTCAGCGAGCCCAACCCGGGCAACAGCAGAACAGGGTGGAACAAGTCCAGGCCGACGGGCAAGCCCAGCAGCCAGAGCAACAGGAAGCAGAAGTCCAGGCAGACGTCCCGGCAGCTCAAGGCGGGGTCGGTCCCGAACCCCAGCCCGAGCAACAACAGGCAGCGCTAGTGGTTGGGCAGGCGGATGAGGCCCAGGCCCCGGCCCCGGCCCCGGCCCCGGTAAGACGCACGTTTTGTTCTTACCGGCATTTTTTTGACTTTGTGTTAGTCATAGATATGCCTTGTTACTTTTCTGCTTTGCATCGTGTGTTTGGAATTTCGTTGCTTTTCGCTGGTTGTAAGTTTTTGTCAAGGATTTGTTACGTCGACGTCCTTGCCATTTTCTTTCGGTAGCGTGCTTTAGTGTCTTTGTTGTAAACGTGCGAACTAGTTTTATCCGGGACCGCCCGTTTGTTGTTGTTTATTGTATTCTGATAATTAGCGCACCTGTGAGTACACCGCACCGGTGGGTAGCGAGTCTCCTTTTGTTATGTAAATTCCGGCTATGCGCAATAGGTGCGAGGGCTGGAGAAGAGGCGTGATCGTGTTAGCCATACTGCAATGAGGTAGTAGCGCCTTGGTGACAATGTGGTCGCCAGGGTGAAGGCTTACAGTGTGCAGTTTTTCAATGTCTTACCGTAATATGACGGTACATCGAGGTGACAAAACGGTCGCCCGGTTAGTAGTGTGGCACACAGATCGCCCGGATTTTTCGATAATCCGCACCGCTTTTCGGCGGTTTAACGTTGCGACACTGGTCGCCGTGGGAATGTTTACAACATTCAATTTGCCGTACTGCAATTCGGCGGTACAACGTGGCGATAATGTGGTCGCCTTTTTTGTGTATTTAGTGTACACAACTTAAAACATGTAATTTGTTCTGCAATTCGGCGGTACAACGTGGCGATAATGTGGTCGCCTTTGTGTGTATTTAGCGTACACAACTTAAAACATGTAATTTGTTCTGCAATTCGGCGGTACAACGTGGCGATAATGTGGTCGCCTTTGTGTGTATTTAGCTTACACAATTTAAAACATGTAAGTTGTTCTGCAATTCGGCGGTACAACGTGGCGATAATGTGGTCGCCTTTGTGTATTTAGCGTACACAACCTAAAGCATTCAAGTTGTACTGCAATTCGGCGGTACAGCGACGCGATAACGTGATCGCCACGTGAATATTTCACACACAGCATAAGATTTGTTTCTTCAGTAGGTCGTATTGCAAATTGGCAGTACAACGAGGAAATAATGTGATCGTCTTGCGTATAGCATGCACAGCCGGTGAACATCCTGCAATTTCGGCGGTGTGTTCGCCGGGTGAGTGTTTTAACTCACAGTACGGGCAAGCAGTTCGCTGTTAAATAACGTGACAGTACCATGAAGCGGCGTGGCCGGTGGATGAATTAGTTTAAAATCCAGCGCAGGCAAGCGTGCGGAGTAATGAGTAAGCACTCGAACCGCTGATGTAAGCCTGCAAAGTGGTAGGCTTGGCGTCTAGGCGTCAACTGTAGTTTCGTGTCGCGTTGATCCTTTTTCTGATAGTTCGCCGGGCGCACTATGGGCAGGACTCTTTGGTTTAAGAGTGGATGGTACGATACGAGTCCCTCGTGCATTGTGAGCATAGAAATGAATTTGTTTCTTTGCCTTGTATTGTCCCTACAGGACGTGGCGGCCTTGATAAGAGAAATGCAAGAGCTGAAGAAGCAGGTAGGGGCGCTGAAGAGCGGGAGGGCGGCGGACGACATAAAGGAGGAGCTGGTCCAGTACGCCGGCAGGCCGGAGGCGGCATTTGATGCGCATCGTGCCCTGGCGTTAGTGGAGGCTCTCGTCTCACAAGCTAGAAAGGAGGGGCATGCCAAAGCAAAAGAATACTCGATTATTCTGGACCAAATCTCACCGTTGGTATCAGAACCATTCTTTAGGCATCTCGTAGTAAACCAGTTTGGATGTGGCATAGTAAAACAGGTAGCGCGAGATATCGCGCAATTTGTAAAGTGCCAGGGTAACCTCTCGAAGGGGTCTACAGCCTCTAAGGGGAAACAACCTAGGGCTGGCCCCTATAGCGCTAAAGGTAAAGGTGCCAAGAGCCCGCGAACCGCACGACCAGGAGATAGGTGTTTCAATTGTGACAAGTTGGGTCATTTCGCAAGAGACTGTAAGTCAGAGAAAAAGAGTTAATCGGAAGCCGTGTGACGATTGTATATGTCGTACACTTGTGTTTTTGTACATTTTGTGCGGAGTTGTAACGACACAGTTTCCCTGATAACTTGCAAGTGAATATGTTGTACAATTTGTGCGGATTTTGTAAAGACACAGCTTTCCTGATAATCCGCAAGTGAATATGGTACAATTTGTGCGGATTTGTAACGACACAGCTTTCCTGATAATCCGCAAGTGAATGTGTTGTACAACTGGTGCGGATGTGTAACACAGTTTTCCTGATAATCTGCAAGTGAATATGTTGTACAATGTGTGCGGATTTGTAAAGACACAGCTTTCCTGATAATCTGCAAGTGAATGTGTTGTACAACTGGTGCGGATGTGTAACACAGTTTTCCTGATAACTTGCAAGTGAATATGTTGTACAATGTGTGCGGAGTTGTAACGACACAGTTTTCCTGATAATCTGCAAGTGAATACGTTGTACAATTTGTGCGGATCTGTATCGACACAGCTTTCCTGATAACTTGCAAGTGAATACGTTGTGCAATTTGTGCGGATCTGTATCGACACAGCTTTCCTGATAACTTGCAAGTGAATACGTTGTACATTTGGTGCGGATTTGTAACGATACAGTTTTCCTGATAACTTGCAAGTGAATATGTTGTACAACTTGTGTAGATTTGTAACGACACAGTTTTCCTGATAACTTGCAAGTGAATATGTTTGTACACTTCTGTGGATTGTAATGACACAGTGTTCTCGATAACTTGCAAGTGAATATGTTTGTACACTTCTGTGGATTGTAATGACACAGTGTTCTCGATAACTTGCAAGTAAGACATGTACAACGTTGTGGATTTGTAGTGGCACAGACCGTTCTTGGCGACTGGCAAGGGAATTATGCTGTAAAAGGACACACTGCTTTCGATAACTTGCAAGTAAATAGGTGTGCAACGTTGTGGATTTTGTAACGACAGATTTTTTGTTTTGTTTCATGGCTTGCAAGTAAATTTGCGGTACAACTTATGTGAATTGTGTAACGACGCGAACATGTTGACGGACTGGACTGGTTGTACGGGGTACATGTGGAGCAAAGAGTAGGATAAGACAATAAAAGTCTGAGCAGTTTACCTGTGTGTCAGTGGTTTGTTTACCTGCATTTAGGATCTTCAGGGACTAGTACGCTACTCTGAAAGTTTCTCCAGAAAGAATGTTTTGGGCCAGCGTTTTTAATGGTAACCTTCTTCAGTCTACTTATCATTAAAAAGAATATTCTGTATTTCAGGGAGCTGCCTGGCCCACACCACATGTCCACGATTTCGAACTAAAATTCAAGTTCGATCCTTTCGCGGCCTACAAAAAGCATCTGATTCGCGATATAACTTGGATAACTAGGAAAAGAGATGGCAAATTGATCGTGCCACCTTCAGTAGAGGCAGTCGCCGCTAGGCGTATAAAGGCCTCGGCAGACTCGCTGATGTTCAGGGATCCCGATTCCTTCCGGGCGGGGGAGATTCACAAACACCCGGAGGAATGGAATAGCATCTTGGGGCAGGGACAGCTTCCTGATATGATTAGAGATTGGATCGAAAATGGAGTGTCCATCTTCCATTTTATGCAACCTTTTAAGGGGAGGTTTAAAGGAGTTGATTATGACTGTGCCTTCCCTCCCCCAAGGTGTTTCTCGAATCTCGCGCCGTTTGCGGAGTTTGTTTCCCGGGCTATCGAAGACCGCATAGTAACGGGAGCGGTGGAGATATGGGGTAGGGTAGGGAAAGTACCCCCACCTTATCTGGTTTTACCGCTCACGGTAGAACCCTCCAAACCCAGGTTGTGCCATGACTTAAGGTATCTCAACTTGTGGATGAAAGACTGCCCATTCTCATTGGATTCGGTGGTAAACTTAACGCGGTATGTCGAACAAGGCCACTACCAAACGAAGTGTGACGATAAGAGTGGTTACGATCATGTTCTGATCTCTGAAGCAAGTAAACCGTTAGTGGGATTCCAATGGGGTGGTTTCTACTATGTATCAACCACAATTCCCTTCGGCTGGTCCATTTCCGGTTTTATATATCAGACCTTAGGTAACGTAGCCATGCACAGAATAAGGGAGTTGGGAGTACCCTCATCATTATACATTGATGATAGGCACGCAGGTCAGTTGCAAACCGCAGCAAAGGAACTAGTTAGGAAGAGACAGGAGGCAGATTACGAGGCGGCTCAGGCAGCCTGTTTCATTATGTGTAGTGTCATAGTGGCGTTGGGATATTTCATTGGCATCTCAAAGTCCCAGCTGGACCCACTTCAGTGCTTAGAGTTTCTGGGTATGGAGTCAGACTCCATCCTAACAGCCTTCAGGTTACCAGAAAGAAAGAAGGTCTCCTTTGCCGAACATAGAGAGGGAATCTTAAGCGAGGACAGGGTGCCCGTCTCTCGCTTACAGAAGATAACAGGGAAACTGGTGTCCTTTGGCTTAGCTGTGCCCGCAACGCGTCTCTACTGCAGAGAGATGTTCCACGCTATAAGTGTAGCGAATAAGTGGAAAACAGACGTACGAATCACAGGTAGCGTGAGGAAGGAGTTAGAACACTGGAGGTTCTTAGACCAGTGGCAAGGACACATCCCGTGGAGGTCAGAGAAGCATGAGTCGATTCGGCTGTTTTCGGACGCATCGGGATTCAGATGGGGAGGTTCAATTGTAACTGAACAAGGTACAACAGAGTTTGGGGACTATTGGACAGGCCAAGAGCAGGCGAACATTATAGCCGTTAAGGAAACGGAAGCTCTCAGGCGTGTCTTAATAACTGCTGAGAACAAGGTGCGTGACAAGAGAGTGGACGCTCTCGTAGATAATACAAATCTGATTTCGGCTTGGAACAACCAAGGAGGGAAAAGTCTGCAGCTATCAAGAGCCATACGCGATTTGTGGGAGGAGGTCGTAAGACTGAATGTTGATTTGAATTTAACTTTCACCCCGTCGAAGGAGAACGAGGCGGACGCCCCTTCGCGTCACATTAAGCCCTCGGACGCTATGCTGCACAAGAAGGTGTTCTTCCGTATCGAGACAGATTTAGGAGGAGGAGAGCACGGTTTCGATACAGACCTCATGGCTTTGCCCTCCAACGTACAGTCTTCAAGATTAGGACAAAAGTTACGGTTCTTCAGTCCCTATCCAACACCGCACTGCGATGGGGTCAATGTGTTCTCACAGGACCTCTCTAAACGTAACGCATACGTATTCCCACCGTTCGGGCTTATCGGTCCTCTGATAAAGTTTGTGATACAGCAGAAGGCACGCGTGGTGATGGTAGTTCCTAAGACGTTCCCGTTGGAATACTGGTGGCCGATAGTAGAACGGCAAGCCACGAGAAAGGTACAAGTAGCATGTGCGGGCCAACCAGTCCTACACTTTCCGACAAAGAGAGGCGGCTGGCAGCTGAAGCCAACCATTTGGGATCTATGGGCGATCCTCTTCTCGGAAAGTGAGACGGACTAAGCGGGCGAATAAAGTACAAAACCAGGTGTTTTCATAGTAGAGTCAACTATAGGCGGATAGCCCGAGAGTTGTAAATGATTCTCACTCTAGGCATACTCTTGGTTCTATTTTCAGATGTCAGGAAAATCTACACCGGAGCTCCAACCACAAGTGTTCCCGGTGCAACAAGAGGGTACAGGCAGTGCTTATGAATTACGTGTAGCTCGCGACAAGCGAGTAGGGGAAGGAGGTAAGACCCTTAGTGGTACGGAGTTTGGCGGAGCGCCAAGACTCTGGGTACCGGCAGTGAAATGCACGGCTTGCGGTTACCCGAATGATTTTGATTTCAATTTCTGTCAAAAATGTGGTACTCCGAAGGTTGAAGAGCCGTCTACGGCAACGATTAGAGGCGTTCGGGTGGACCACGCAGCTATTGACAGCAGACTTCAGGAGATTTTGGGAAAGCAGTGTACCTCGACCTATGGTAAGCAGAAAACAGCCATGAGTGAATTGTTAAGGGATTTCTTAAAAACCCTGGTGCCCATGAAGACCTTAAGCTCAGCATCCCCGACAGACCTTGTGAAATTCCTAATCTGGAAGGACCAGAAAGGTAAAACGAAAGTACATGAATCAGGTTGTAAAGGAGGGAACACCGCCTGTAACTGCCCACATAGGTTAGCTTTCAAGACAGTGGACACATATATTGGGCAGCTTAGGGCTATTTTCAATGAGATCGGTAGAGGGGGCGAGTGGGACGAAAGATTGGGGGTCGGGAACCCAGCGGCAGGTAAGGTCGTGAAGCAATACTTGGCATCGGTAACAGCAGAACAGCTGGGGCAAGGATCAACCCCACACCAAGCTAAACCGGTTTTCCTGGACAAGATAGTTCAGATCTGTACGTTCATCTCAGAGAAGATAGCTTCGGAGAAGTCAGCATCAAGGCTTTTCACATTGGCTAGAGACCAAGCAATTTTCAAAGCTGCTTTTTTCTCCGGAGACCGGATAGCAGATCTGATGAGAACCAGGACAGCCGAGGTTTCCAGGTTACCATCTGGGGCACTGGTCCTGAACCATGTCTGGGGAAAAACGTTGAGAGATGGTAGGTCTAATCTCTTCGTGCTAGAGAGAACAGGGGACATTTCTACGTGCCCAGTCGAGGCAATAGACTGGTATGTAGAAATCGCTAGATTTTTGTCTATAGACCTCGGGGGAGGTTATTTATTCAGAGCTACTTCAAGGGAAGGTCTGGTAATGCAAGAACAGCCCTCTACAGCAACGGTAAGTAATTCTTTCCGCAGGTACTTGCAGAGGTTGGGAATCGATCAGGGAGAGACTCTCCATGGTTGCAGAGCAGGTTGCGCCATCGCTTTACACATGGCGGGCGCATCTGAACAGGAGGTAATGGACCACGTTGGATGGTTCACAAAGCAAACGGCGGCACACTACATGAAGATGGGAACGGTCATGAGACCAGGCGGGCCAGCTTCAAGGCTGGCGTCTAGAGAAGTTAGACAGGCAGCAAAGTTGTATGAGAGAAACAATGAGCTGATTGGCCTAAAGAAAGCGTTCTGATAGAATAAACGCCAAGGCGTCGATTAAAAG